TTTTTTAAGTAAATTATAATTATAATTAGTTTCTCATAGAGCCAGTTTATTATAGTGGCATTATAACAAATTAATGGTACCATAAAATTAAGTTGTTATTGTAATAGTCATGTGTTGTTTGGTCTGTTGATGGGATTGTTTAGGTTGAAATTTTTTTCCCAGTATGAGATAGACCTACACTTAAATACCCTTAAAAGTTGTCATATTGTGCCAGGGATTTAGCTCAGTGGCACCCTGCCTGTCTCGCAAACGCAAGGTCCTGAGTTCGATCCCCCAATACCAAAAAGAAAAAAAAAGTTGCCATATCATGTGGCTGTCATCTTATTTTAGTTTTTGTAGTGCTGGGGATTGAACCCAAGGTCTAGTGTTAAGCAAGCAGTTCTATCACTTAGCTACATCCCCAGCCCTGGCCATTATTTTAGAATTATTTAAGTTAATTTAGTTTTATCTACAACTGAGCTCCTTGAGGTAATTGGAACACATCAAAATTGTGAAAAGAAAAACAAAAAGTTATTTATTTGTTTATGTATTTATTTATTTCTTGTGCTGCTGGCAATTAAACCCAGTACTTGTCCTGCTAAATAAGCTCTCTACTATTGAGCAATACCTCCACCCAAAATACTTGTTTTCAAAAGAAGTTAGTAAACCTTTCTGATCAGGTTGAGTTGGCTCAAGGGACACTTTGCTTTAAGCATTAAATACTCTGTAGTCTAACTCTTAAAATAAATATATTTTATAGATGGCACTTGCCACACTTTAAAGCTTTTCATTTCATTAAGGCAAATATATCATTTCTCAATAAAATATTTTGAAGGAAGAGGGAGACATTACCTTTTAGAAGCAAATGGTTTTAGATAATATCTATGAAAATAATCATAGAAGTGACAGTTCTTGTAGGATTTGAAAGATTTTTACACTTGGATAAAATTTTACACAAACCAGATTTCCCCTGGGGTGTCACAAAATAAACTAACAATAATGTCACACACACATCTTGTGTTATTTTATTTACCAAATTAAATTTCTGCTCTGGTGATAAAAAGGTCACCAGAGCACTCTGTGAGATAATACAGGTGAGCTCCCAGATGAAATCAAAACCAAGCCAAGCAGAATATTTTCACTCAAAGAGATTTGATATCTGTGATAGAAAAGTTCAAATTTTTGTGACCTTATTTGATTAAAGTTATTTTGTCACAAGTACCCCCTGAATCTATTATTTATTTTGTTCTTCTTGTTACCAGGTTTTCTTGTGTGTTAAAGACATACAAATGGGTTGCAAATGGTATAGGTTTCTTCTTACATTACTCACATTTTCATAAGTGCTCTGAACCTCTTAGCCAGTATTTGCAGTGCATATGTGAATACAGCATACACTTACACACTCTCACACAGACTTTTCCTCTCTTTAGCAGTAATACTTCAAAGAATAAAAAAGGAAGCGATGTACTAGAGTGTTTAGTGCAGAGGGGCTGGGTCCCCTGCTTCCCCTCTCCATGCTGATGTGAACTGCATTATCTTACTTGGTTCACATTTTCACCTGTGGAGAACTTATAGCACTGTTGTGAAATGCAAATCATATAATGAATGTAAAACTCTTACTGGATATCCAGCAACATAGTAAGGAATAAGAAATGATAGCTATTTTTTTTACTATTTTTCTACAGGATTAAGTCATATGGATATATATAATATTATATATATATATATATATATAGTGAAGCTTTTGGTAGAGACTATGAGAGTGAAAGGAAATGGATATTTTGGGTTTGTTTATTTTTATGATCCTAAAATTTAAAAATATATATATATTTGATACATTTTGACATCATATATATCCATTATATTCTGCTGTTTTGGTGCTCAGTTTCCCAATATTTCATGTTATGAATGAAGAAGTTAAGGCATCAAGACTTGAAATGCTTATTCAAGTATTTTGGAACAAGCTCCTGAAGGAACAATAATAGACTGTACTCTAACCACGTTGAATATCACTTCATTGCCCCATTTCCATTGTATAAATTGAAAAAGCAATTCATACAGATGGTACTTTAAAGTTCACCTGAGAAAATAAAATGGTAAATAAAAATCAAAGACAGAAGGTATATTTATATTCATTTAATGAGAAAAATTAGCAAAGATTAATTTTTTTTATATTATGAACTAATGTTCCCAAGCAAATCGGGAATTAAAGTTAACATTAATAGCTTTGAAAACTGAAATTGAATGAGAACATTTCAAGAAGAAAATTTTGACTATTCTTAATTAAAAGGAAAAAAATAAATGAAGTCTAACTTGAGGACCTGATTCTGAGACATCAAGAGTTACTCTTACAACTACCCACCTGATTTAATGCCAGATTTTCCATATATACTTCATCTAAAACAATATATTACAATAGATTAAATGCAGAAGCAGATACGAGAATCTTGCTGTCTCTTATTAAAGAAATTTACAAGAAAGTGAACCAATACTTTCTTTCTGCTATAATTATGTTTTGTTTCAAAATAGACTCATCTTTCATAAAAACTACGTCACTTATGTTAATATAATGGAGTTAGCATGATTATTTTTTAAAAGGAGTTTTAACAAAATCTTGCTTCCTAAGTTTCAAATTCTAGTATACTAAATGCTAGTAGAGATATACTCCCAAATCAGAAGCTCTCAATAATTTTCAGCATGAAGAGGCATTTTTAAATGAAAAGTGTTCAGAAAACAGGTCTATATACTCTGGTTGCTTTTCCTTGTCACTCTGGCCTCCTCTTATCTCTGACCAGAGAACTAGCCTCTCCGGTGTCCTGCAGCAGATTTCTCAAAGTCATTACCATATGAAAGGAGTTTCCAAGGTCTTATCCTTGCTACTTTCTGGCTAATGTTTAAAGTACTTACCTCTGTTTTCTTCTTGGAATTTGTTCCTTTTACAGCAGTAAACTACTCTGATTTTCAAACAGCCTTCCTGATTACTGTTTCTCTCGGTTGGTTGGTTTCTTACTCTAGGGGATTTTTCCCTCTCTCAACTGTCTCTGTATTCTTGTCTTTAAAGAGCTTTTCCAATTTTTTTGCTCAATCAGAACTCTTTCCCATGGTGTCAAGCAGAAAGCATGCCAATTGCCACCTATTTGCATCTCAGTGTCAATGGGTCTAAAATCACACTTAATATCTTGCTCACCCATGGTTTCCCTGAGTCATCTGAAGTCTGTGCCTGACCTAGAAGCTCAGTTCTCCTAGACAGTTTCGTATTTCCAGAGTAAGTTTTTACTCCTGCCATGCAGCCTGTGAATCCTGTGCTCTTTGTTCCTCTGTGGATCTCCAGTCTGTTGCCAGAAAATGTACAACTGAAACCTTATTGTCACACACTGGGCCATTTTCAATAGTCAGTTCTTGGCTGCTCCCCTTCCCAAAGAGACTTTCATTTGCTCAACTTGCCCTACCTACAGAGTCTCAGATCTATCAATGAGATTGTTAGTTTTCAACTTTCACTTTTAGCCATGAAAAGCTATTCCACCAGAAAGAATTTTTAGAAAAGTAATTCCAATATTTAACAACTAAATTGTGCCCATGAACTTGCTCCTGAAACTTTAAGGGAAGAAATACTGTGTGTATCTCAGCAGAGAAAGGGAATCCTGGAGATGGGTATCCAGGGGACTCTTTTCCTACCTGTTTTTTAGTTTCCCTAGTAAAATGACAAGGCCTTGTGAATGCCAAGGAGCCAGTGCCCATGAAAGAGACACAGGCAATGCTGCCTCTTCCAAGTGGCCTGTGGAGCCCAGAGGCTGCCCCCTATGGAGCTGCTCTAAGTTCTATCACAAGCCAGTTTCTAGACTAGACCACTATCATCCTAAGCAAGAATGGAGATAGAGAGGGAACAAATAGAGGGCACTTAGTTTCTGAGGACTGGGAAGTGAAGAAGATAGAATTTACCATCATCCCAAATGTAGGCTTTACTTAGAGAATTAAATGTTGGAGGGATGTAAGGCTCCACGTGTAGTCCTTTACTTTTCTGAAGTGACACACAACATCTAAGAAATCTAATCTGATGATTTCACATTATCTCTATATTCTTACAACTCTCAAATTTATATCCCATCTCTGACTTTCCTCCTGAGTTTCAAATATAGCCCAACTGTCATCTGTACTTGAACTTAAAGACATCTCAAATTTGACAACTTAATGTAGAATTCTTGATTTCTTCCTCTCTCTCTGGACTTCCTTCAAAAACCCAGGGTCCACATCGGTCCCCATGTTAGTAAATGTCTCTTCCTTTCACCTAGTTGCTCAGATGAAAATCTAGGAGTAGGAGTCCTCCTTTGTTCTCTATGTCATCACACCCATGCACAATTCTTACTCAGCCCATCCTGATAGCTCCACCTTCAGACCATGTCGTCACCCACCACTCACCCCACTTCCGCTCAAGCCCAGGCTCAGTTGCTGCTGTCTCTTGCTGGTCACTGACTTTTGCTCTTCCTCTATTACAAGCTCAATCCTGCCTTGGGACTTCTAGGTTTGCAGGTCTGCCTACCTGGGATTGTTATCCTACTGATTTTAACATGACTCATTCCTTTAAATATCACCTCTTCAGGGAAGCCTTCTGACAACTCTGTACTGTAGCTACCTCTCCATTATTCCTGATTTCACTGTTTTTTGTTTCCTGCAGCACTGCTTGAAAATACTGTCTGTTGTTATGCATTTAATTGTTTACTATTTCCATAGAGGCTTCAGGAGGGCAATGCTTTGTGGCCTCATCACCATGCCCTTGTAATCTAGAACAAAGCCTCACGCATGGCAGTAGATGTGCAGTAAGTGTTGAATGGGAAAACAATTTGTTAGGTAGGCTTGAACTTGTGAGATCAGCTTTCTCAAGTGAACTCAAAAGCAGGAATTCAATTTATTGTATAGTGCAACAATATGTGTTTGTGTTGATTTTTGCAGAAGTTGATTTTTTAAAGTAGAAATTAAAGAGAGCAGCTCTACTCGTAGCTTAACAAGTACTTATTTTTATTTTTATTCTTTCTCAGAGCAATTCTTCTCTTCCTGTCATCCTCTGCTCCTTTTTGTTTTGTTTTGTTCTGCTAGTTTCTTTCTGAAAAGAAAGGTTTTTTTAAAAAAAAATTAGTATATATTTGCAATACAGAACAATTACAATCATCTTGGGGAGTTGGTTCATATACATATCACATCTTAATCATTTTTACTTCCTTTTCCCCTCCTCACTTGTCTCCCCTTCCCACTCCTTTTAGAATAAAGGAGCTGTAAGATGAATATATTTTAAGGGGATTTTGTTCTTGGCACATGAAGAAGACACACTGGGCTTACTAAAAACAATATTTTAAGGCTTTAATTCAAAACATAACTGGTGCCTGTACAAACTTTACTGAAATCTTTATTGAGGAGAATTGTGTGGTTATTCCAATCCTGGCTTCAATTTGTAATTTGAATGAAAAGTCCCTCAATTTAGAAAAGCAAACACTCCACTAAATCATCAATGCTGAAGTGTGACTAAAGCTTTACAGAACAGTCTACAACATGTATTTCTGTATACTGTTCTCAATAATATATTAGGAATTTTAATTTCTAGACTGAAAATAGTTTCAACAAACATGTTGTTGGAGTTAAGTCTTCCATGTCTTAATAAGAATTGATTTTTATTTCCCTTCTTTTCTCCTTCCCTTCAGTCTCATCCCTATTTCACATATGCAACTTTTTCTGGTGGCCAGATCCACAAATAACACTTTGTACAGTAAAGGGCTTCCAATGAAAGTTAGGCATTTTGTCCTAGTGAGAAATTAGCCTCATATTTCAGGGACAAACTAACAGGTAACAGTTGGATATTTGAGGCTTACAGTTCTATTTGGAAGATGTTGATTTTGAGTTAGTAGAAGTGAGAAAACCAGTAAACTATTGACTATGCAGTTCTAGTGAAAATTTTGGGAAAAAATGTACTAGAAAAAATTGAGAAGATCCTGTAATCTGCTGAGATCCTGACTTTTTTTAATGAAGAGGAGTAAAACCAAAGTCATTGAGAGTACTTTCAAGAAAATTGCTGGGTTTTGTCCACATATATTTCTTTCTACTTTCTTTTTTCATTTTCCTTTTTTTCTTAGAAAATAATTAAATATTCATTACTTTTAGAGACGAGTTTGCGCTGATAATATGGTCAAGAAATACAAAATTTCTAATTGTTTCTCTGCCAAAGATTTTCAGTAGAAGTAATAAAGTAAGAATCTAAAAGGGGGGAAACTATGCATGTTGAATGAAATAGCCATTTTCACATGTTATTGTGGCAGTGTAAAATGATACTGTGTGCTCAGATACCTAAAAACTTTTGAAACTTTTAAAATGGTATTTTTTAGTATTATGTAGGGTATTGTATATGCAGTTTTATGTAACTTTTTCAAGGTGTGGAATTTTGAGATTCTCAACTTCAATTTATGGATCTGTAAAATGATAAAATGTAAAATAATACCTCTGCCTCTAGGGTTATTGTGAAAGTTAAATGATGCAGTGACATATGAAACAGCACACTGCCTGGTGTAACAGTTAAAACTAAATAAGTGATACCCCAAAATAACAAAAACCTATAAAAATATGTCTAATATATAGAACCAAAACAAGCACTTTGAGAGTGAATACATGCGCTGTTAGTAATTGTACCTGGACCAAAATTATGAATCAGGCTGGTCCCTGAGCATAATAGAACAAGTGGTTTCTCTATCAATAATCTATTAACATTAAAAAAAAAATCATTCTTTTTCACATAATCACAAGGCAGCAAAACCTTAATCCAATAGTATATCAGTAACTCACCCAGATTTTCAAGAAGTAATATTTATCAGGATTGTAGATTAATTGAGCTTTGTTTATCAAAGTAAAAATCACTGGTAATTTTTCAAATATGTTACAAGCTAATTTAACTTTTCGTATAAATCAGAAAATTTCATAAGATTTTACTGTCTGCCAGATTAAAACTAGTATTTGTTAAAAGTGTTTTCAATATGTTAGATTTTTTTAAAAAAAATATCTTTGCTGTTAAGGTGTTGTTATTTCAAAGTGCCTATGACTGGTTTCCTATCAGAAATTAAAATAACACATAATGAGAACAAAGTATGTTTTCACTTGGAAATGCAATTAAACCAACTAGGAGAAACAGTGCCTTTTTAAGTAAGATGAAAATACCTGTGTTTATGAAGCTGTTCGGATGGTATTAGAATTTGTCTTAGAGAAACATTTGCTTTATTTAAGATATATGGTTTTCTAAATTATAATTGACATGGTTGTTATTTTCATTATAATTTTTCATCAAGCTAGTCCTGTGAGAATCCTCATTCTTAAAGATTATGCTTAGCTCACTTGATTACGTATTAATAAAGTTTACAGAAAATTTTTTAAAAAAGTTTTTGGGGGCTGGGGATTTTTGGGGAGGCAGTGGCACCATGCCTGCCTCCCAAGCACAAGGTCTTGAGTTCGATCCCTGGTACCAGAAAAAATTTTTTTTTGTAGTGCTGGGAATTGAACTCAGAACCTTGTGCACACTAGCCAAGTACCCTGTTACTGAGCTACATCCCCATAATGTAAAGAAAAGTTGTTTGTAAAGGATTGTATGTGAAAGCTCCCCACAAAAAATTCATTCTTTGACTCAATATGATATATTCATCATTATGCTAATGTTTTAATTTTTAAAATGCCATAAGAAAGAAATAATTTTTGCATATATTTGTTTAAATTTTCCAAAAAGGCAGGATTGGTAGATAATTTCCATAGTGTAGAAGAAAAGATTTCTGTAAGTCACTGGGTTTTCTTTTCCCATTTTCATTTGTATATTGAGGCATTTTACAGATATACTCTATGTTGTACTTTACTATATGTTGACATAATTTGCTGATGTTTTTCCAACACCTTAAAAAAAAGAATGAGTCCACTTCCACATTTGTGACTCTTCCTGTCTCTTTCATAATTTAGGTTCATAGCATTTAGAAAAATGACAAATGTTGTCTTGTGTATATGTAATACATATATACAAATAATTGAGAATAGGCATAGTTTTCTGAGATGATATGGGTTGAAGACAGCATTACCAACAACAACAACACAACAGAAAACATCACTGTTATGAAATTGATCTTAAAAAAAAAAAGCTTGATCTTGAAAATATAATCTCAACCTCCTCTCTTTGGAAACAGCATGCAATCAGATTATGCTACAACTTTAAGAATGATAAAACTGATTTGAATTAGTTATGTAGGTATAAAAGACTCTAAGTCTTACTTTTAGGCTAGATCCACACTGGGCAATTAGTTAAATGTTTTGACTAGATTAATTAATTTTAGCCATGTTGATTTTAATAATCATGCATTATTTTCTTCTTTTGAAATAATCACAGAATAGGCTGTTTTAGGATCAGGTAGAATCTGAAATAGTCTCTCTTGAATTGATATTGTTCCACTGCGTTTACAATTGTATGCTTTATTCCAAAAATAGTTTTCTTTTTTAAACCAGGATCTTGCTGTGTTACCCAGACTGGCTCAAACTCTTCGGGTCAAATGATCCTCCAGCCTCAACCTCCTGAGTGTCTGGGACTATAGGCATTTGGCACTATACTGGGCCCCAAAATAACTGTCTTTAAAATAGTACATTTTGCAATTATAAAGAGAAAGCTACCAATATCTATCAAAATTGAACACTGTTAATGAATGAAACGCAGAAAAGTGAGTCATCCATTATCCACCAAATATACCTACCAAGTAAAAGCACTATTTCACTACCATAAAATATATAAATATTTCAGTAACATGGAGCCTACCCTCAAAGAACTCATCACATATTTATGTCTAAATTAACAGGCATTGGTTATTAAAAAGGAAGATAGGGCTGGGGATTTAGCTCAGTGGTTCTGCCGCCTGACTCTGAAGCATAAGGTCCTGAGTTTGATTCCCCGGGTATCAAAAATCAAAGGAGGCAGATAGGGTGATCACTGACATAACAGCTATTTAATTAGGCATGGTCCTTATTTTCTATGATTTGTAGTGTATGTCAGAAAGGTTAGGCCAAACATCCCAATTATTTTTACACTTGGGACCATTTCCTAAGAAATAAATGAAAATCTAATTGTAATTTTGATAGTTTCTATCACAATGTCATGAGAAAACAGATGGCTTACTTATGCTCACAGGGAGTGAATATTCTCTTTACCAGTCATATGGCCCTTAGTAGGATCTTCTGAAGAAGCTTTGCAAATCCCTCATGACCAAGGTCTAGTAGTGAGGGGGCTGCTCCCTGAAGGGGAATGGAAGGATGATCTAAATCATTTAGGGTACCACTTTTCAAAAGCATACTTTGAAAAGTAAAACCAACAAAGAAATAACTAGTCAAATGTCAATTTAGCTAACTGCAATATGTAAACTTATCTTCATTCTCACTACATTCCCCAAACTATAAAATATGTTTATAAACCTCTTTAATCAACAGTGAATTTTGAGACCTTTCTTTTAAAAAAGTAGGAAATTACTAATGCAGAAATCAGTTATGGGCTTTAGAAGGGCTCTTGTAGGTGTGCAGCTCTGAAACTAAAGTTTTATTAGTTTCTAAGTAATTCCAGTTTACTCCACAGACATTTTTGAAACATGGAAAGTCTATTTGAAGATGTGTAAATCTAATCAAATATCACTTCTAACATCACAAAATGTGGTTAAAATGCTTAGGGATAGATCATTAGTAGCTTTTGTTGACAATGTAAGGTTCTATCTATAGAAACATCAATTTCTGATTGTACAGAAAATTTTATGAATGTATAGAACCATCTGGATATTTCAGGCCTTAATTTCAACATATCCTTCATCACTGGGGCTATTTATCGAAACTGGACTCATTGTATTATTTATTATCCATTTCAGTTTTCCCACATAGATATAGAGTTTGTGGGGCGAGTGATAGCATGCTATCCCTCACGCTCCCCTCCCCACCACTGCAGGGCAGGGCGGCGATGGCTGGGCAGTGGGGCTAGCCCACACCCGAAGCTTGCGGCCTGCTGCCAAGCAGCACCAACCGCCCAAGGCGCTGGGCCCCACTCGGCCTTAAGCGCGGACAAAGCCCCCGAGCTGCTCCCAGCATCCCTCTACTCGCCATTAAGCATTCTGAGATGGTTGTGGGATTTGAAAATTTAGATTATTTTGACTTCTTGGAATTATTTAATACATATCTCAACTTTTCTTTTAAATTCATGTAAATCAGTGTGACTTTAGGGAAATTTTTGTTTTAATGAGGTTGGAAAAAGTGGATAAATTACTTGCTCATAGTAACATAGTTAATCTTGTTGAGAGAAACCTTTTGCCAAACTGCATAGCAATCATTTCATTCCAGCTGATATTGTGAACTTGAAATATTTTACTCTGCTTTTCTGTCTCCTAATTAGTTTCTGTTTGGGTTATTTGTGCAGATCTATAGATTAAAAACTTACATACAAGAGCAAAAATACTACAGTTCAACCTGTCTCTCTCCCTGCTAATAATTTTGCTGCTTCAGGACCATGGACCTTCCCTAGGAACTTGTACACATTTCCCTAATGAACCCATAGGTTATGATATATTTTTAAGCTAAATTGTTTTTATTTATAGAAAAAATTTTTATGTCTGCCATGGATGTATATTAAAGTTTATATAGCATTCATCTTTGTGCAAGTGCTTTATCTTACTGATTATTTTGACAGAAAAACAAATATCCAAAATATCCCTGTGAGAAATAAAAACAAACCCTTACCCTCCAAAAGCACAACAAAGCTACAACTCTTCAGGCCCTCCTTGGACCAGTGGACAAGACTTGTAAATCTTCTCAGAGTCCACTGACGTCTGCTCGTCTGCTAGTCTGGCTGATGCTCAGAAGGGTAAGAGACAAGATCATCTACACACAGAGGAGCTAGGATTTTTCAAATCGCGTTTGATTTTCTGCTAGCTGTGAAATTTTCCAAATTATTTCCCCATATGACAGAGTTTATTTTGTCAGAAAATAAGTTTTATAACCCGAGTGTTTAAAATACAATATAAGAAGACTTTCATCTATGTTCATAAGGGAGATTGGCCTGTAGTTCTCTTTTTGGGTTGGGTCTTTCTCTGGTTTTGGAATCAAAGTAACACTTGTTTCCAGGAATGAATTTGGAAGCCTTGCTTCCC